GGTAAGCTCACTATGTTTGTCAAACCAGGAACAGTCAAGAAGCTGATAGCAAGACGATTGAAGTCACCACAGATGATACATTGAGAACTAATCAATAAATCTGCCCTTATCTTTACGAGGCAATCCAAAATTCGATTGCCATGTCATTGGGTCACATGTGCCCATTGAGTAAGCAACAGGATCAGACACAATTTACGATCTCATACAGTCTCACGAACGGTTTGTTCGATGAGTCATATGGTGTACAGTTGATCTTTACTCTTCTATGGTTTCCAATTAAATCCCCAACGAGATCTTCAGCTTATCCATTATTATTCATTTTGTACATAATCCTTTCATTCAGACTGATATGAAGCTCAGGACAGTACATGAAATCATCTCAACAACCGCTGGCGTGCTTCCAGGTTTAGAAATGCCTCGGGTTCTACAGTATGGTGGGAGAATTGACTCTTGAAGAAACAGGTTCTTGTGTCTCGCTGACAATAGGGTGTGTGTTGCATCATCGAATTGATCAACCGCTGTGTTCAGTCATTCTATGTAATAACTGACGATTTGTTCTGTCTACTTATGCGTCACCGGTTAACTGGTGCCAGACAAAACCCTCGTTTGCCAATCATGCCCTCGTTTGTCGAAATCAATCCCATTAGTACAGTTAATCCACATAAGCTGCGCGACTGGAAATGTACGGTCTAAAGCAGAACTAAGCTTTTCGCGCATGGCACTCGGTGATTGGTCCTTTTTGGATCTAACCAGGTTTTTAGAAACATCTTCGGTCGGATTACCCCTTGACACTTTCTCACTACATCATCCGTGACTCTTCCCTTGTAACCGTGTTTTAACAACGCTTCCCTCAGGAATTCTACTTATTAGCTTATTTTTTCTTGAGCATGAATTTTCCTGCGCGATCAAATGAAGTTATGACAGATCCGCATTTGTATACGCCGGAAAAATGCATTACACTAGTTGGAACTTAACGACCTCCCAAGGTGAGAAACCCAAATCCAAGACCATCAAGAATGTGTGGTGCCTCTGAACAGTCGAACAGGCTAATCCAAGCTTGATACCATAAAAATCGATTGAGCCATTCCCAAAAGGTGATGACCGTCGACTGTGTAGCTCAGGGATAAGGGTTTGAAGTCCCAATCCGAAGGTTCGCAGTTCGAGTCCTGACAGGGACACAAAAAGTACGCACTGCTGTCGAGTCCCAAACAGGACGAGACATCTGTCCAGTGCTCTTTGTTGATTATCACAAACATTTCCATCGCATTTCAAAAATGACTACCGATCGCTATGTCGCTTCTCATTGACACGACCCACAATCGTCAGCCTGGAGTTCTGATAATAAAAATCCGAGGTTTTCCGTTGTAAAAAAGAACTATACACTTTAGTTATTCATCAAAATAATAAATTCAGTACATTTTGAAGCTTACTCTTCAGTCGATCTTCGGTGCACATCACACGGACTTAAAATCTCCGCGTACAAATTAAAGGATGCTTAAAGTATTATGGTTAAGATCGATTAGAGATATTTCTAGCTTTCCACTTAGTCACCGGTCGAACTTGGTGAACAGATTTGCGACTAGTCGAGGTCGATAATCAACGTGAAGTATGCGTGGTCTTTAAGTGTTCAGCTGGAATGTTTGCACGGCGGATTACGTAAAACGCGTTCGGTCAGTGGATGAGAGAAACATGCAGCTAATCTTGTGAATTTTAATTCGGAGAAAAAAATGTCGCCCATGTTAGTTGTATTTTCAAATCACGTATCGATCGGTTTTGTTGTAAAATAGTGAAAGCTTTTGCATCACCTATCGGAAGTCTACGTCGAAGTAATTTAGGGTATAAGGTATTTTTGTACATGATGAGTTTCAACATTTAGTGAAAAGCTAGGAAAAATTGTGTACCAGTTTTGACCTTGTCAGGCCTCGTCAGCAGTTTAAAAAATTAACTGAACTGGGGATCGAACACGGGACCTCGCAGGTATAATGCAAGCACACCATTCATTCGACCTCTAGGCATCTGATCAAGTCGTTTATTATTTTATCCGCTCACGGTGTATAGGACGACCGAGCATTGCAGGCTTGATGCGAGTATCTTATGTCACCATACATTTATAAGCAACCGTCATACAACATTCTAGCACGTAAAAACGCATGGTGTAGATCGGCACCTCCAGATGGGTGATCTTTTTGATACCGGGGTAAAATAAATGTTTCGCCAGAGGGGCCGTCGTTGACGTTCACAGTGTTCATATCACAACAAACATTCATTTCCACTTTACTGCAGTGGATTTACAACCAACGCCTCACAATAAAGCAGTGCCTAGTTCAGTGTGCTGAGCACTGTTTATAAACTTGTGTGCCAACCTGAATGTCAGCGCTGCTGTTAGCGGACTATGGGCCGGACGCATGCTTTCATCCCTTTTATACCACACTCCCATACAGACAGTCTGATGTTCTCACGTGACATTCGATTCCGTCGCGTGGCAGAATGCTCACTGCGTTACCCTTCGCTAGATATTGCACGTATTACGTGAAACGGACCTCAAAACGTTAATCACAATAGCCCCAATGAATAGACAGTCTGATCGATCAGTCGAAAAAAGACACAAAATGGTCAAGCAGTTGCTTGACCGCACCGGAGATTCGTCCCTGTTGAAACCCATCATCAGTGCATACAATTATTTATAAGCATATAGAGACTCGAATCGCAACTGCTCAGGTTGGCAAATTTATTTCACTGCCGTGACAGTCAGTTCAGTTGCTACAAATAACGCACCATAATTTAATCTGATTTGCTTTTCATCTTTTAAACATGTTTTTGTTGACTCAAAATACTTACAAAAAAACGTCACTGCAAGTTTGAATTCATTTAAATTCATTTCATTTTACGCTAGCCTATCATGGTTGTTCAATTCGCATTTCCATCGTCTCCTCTCTGTTTTCTATTTTCTCTGTTCCTCCCCCCCCCTCCGAAATTCACTTTTCACAGAATCACTTTGTTCGGACATGCTGGTGGTGTGATTTGTGTCGCACTGCATTTACTCTCACCTGTGACGAAGAACTTGTTCCAACAGGCCATTCTGCAAAGTGGCTCACCGTTGGCTTGGTGGGCCATTGAGGGACCTAACTCAGCGCTGGAAAAAGTATGCCTGATTCACTCCGTTTAAGGTCTCAAAGCGGTCACTTACTGTTTACGATTTGGGGTTCTGACCTCCTCTGTGGATCAGTTTCACAGAAAAACGTTTTTCTTAAAGGGGGATCATGTGATTTCTGGCGTAGACACTGAGGATGCAATCCCCGGTGTTTTCACCATGACACCTAGGCATGCTTCATGGAAGAATGGGGTTTACTTACTACAATCCTGATAAGGAGTGGATAGAGCATGAAACTAAGCGACACGAATAGGGATAAAATTGATATGAATTTCAAGTTCCGTTTTTTTGGAACCTGATCTGCAATCGTCATTCTGCTCATTATCCCGATTTGAAGATCCACGGAGATTTCTATTGATCGGGTGACTTTTCCTTGCTGAGGATGCGACCGGTTATCAGATTACCATTGGGGAAAAATGGTCTTTATGGTTTCCAAAGAAATGTACGCGGTTTTGTAGATAAAGAACAGAAGGCAGAAAACACAGCAGTGTGTGTGTGCTGAAAGCAACTGAAAACATGTTAAGTCATTGGTTTATCATATGTTTGTGCCCAGAATTGGTTCTGCATCCACCACGAGGTGATTCTGGACACACATGGATGAGATTCGCGGTTTCGGATTATGCTTGTTGCTCTAGTTGATCGATTCCGATTGTCTGCTTCCCCCTCCCGTTTTCATTGCTTTATTGAATTTGAACACATTGTCTGTAAGCGCCAATTCGACCAACCGCAAAGTATTCACTATTGTTATCGGTCCTTGTGACTGCTAGGCTCAACCAACTGCACTGGTGTTATTTACTGCAATCGACAGAATTTTCAAATGCCGTGCAAAATAGAAATGTATACTTTGACTAAACGCGAGCGGACGAATCGGTTAGCTTCATTGAGAGCAAGAAGCTCATCAATCTTACCTGACATGTTCATCTGTAAAAATTTAATCATTTTTACGGTATGTTTATTTCCGCTAGTCGAATCAGGTTGACTTATGAATGTGAATTTCAAGTAGTCCGGTGATACCACATGCAACACACATTAGTCTGTTATACTGGATATTTTGATATCACTTGATTCATAAAATGTACTGCTGATGAGTCCTAAAAAAACTTCATGAAACGGGTTTACTAAGGATGTTCAGTTACTATGATGTCGATGAAAAACTTTCAAAAGCAAAATACAGCAATTAACTGAGGATGACTTATACTTTTTCAATGAATTAAAAGGATGATCAAATGAGGGTAATGAAGGATCTTATTCAATTTCAAAAGGTAAATTCATCGTGTACATAGCAAATGAAGCGTAAAATGAAAATCTAGGAAGCATTGTGAAGCTGTTTCGATCTGGTTGGGTCACATCAGCAGTGCAAATCCATCGACCCAACTGGGGATCGAACGGTCTGATCATCTGCCGGTGGCCAAATGGATAGCACGCTTGCGTTCTGCCTATGGGGTCCCGGGTTTGAACCCCATTTAGATCGATGGGTTCCCAATGCTGATGGGACTCCATCAGATGGAAACAGCTGTACAATGTGGTAGGTCTAAGGGGATGGAATTGTCATCAAAGCCCAAGCTATTCAAGAGAAGCTAAGAGGAATTGTGAAATTCCTTTTCTTTTGCTGTTCCTGAGTATAAAAGTTGCCTACAAGTTCCTTAGGATAACACTGAAACCAGTCTAACTCGGTAACTCTGATCAGCTTCAGGAACGATGCAGTTTGCCCAATGGTAGGGCCTTCCGTACGAGAGACCACGTGATTAAAATCTCAAATTGGCTGCTAAACATGCGCTGGTGAGCCATAAAGAAAATCGCTATAGTTTCGAATATATGTTTTGGATAAATTTAGCATACGGTTTGGAAGATGACCAGTCAAATACGGGGGTGGAATCTACTTAGACGATTTCAACGTTGATGTTCAGCCGAACTGGGGCAACAGAATAAATTTTGTTTGTCGGAGACTGGTGAAGTGAATTGGTCTGTCACATTTAACCCGCTAATAAATAATTGAAAGATTTTCGAGTTCGAGACAACTTGAATTTTTCTAGACGCTATAACTTGTACATTGATAATTTGATACAAACCTTGCAGGATAAGCGGAATAAGCCATACGGACTTTTGCATTGGATGAGAGAAAGCAGATTTTAAAAAAACATAAAAAAATACTCACAGAGTGATTAATATTTGGTCAGAGAAAGACAGCCTACTGTAGACGCGAAACAGATGAAGATAAGCCATGGATTGCGGTTTTCAGACATCACCCCGCTATCTTGCGGGTTAGGCTTTGGCTAGCCGAAGACCGCGGTTGTGGAATCCACAAGGTAATTCACCTGTCTTGGCCCGAGCAACCTGACAGTATTCAGCCCGCGTGCAAAAAATCATGGAGCGTTTTTCTGCTTATCAAGATTATTGTACCATGATTTGTTTGGCACACAGTCTGGCGTCAGATGTGTATGAAATATAATATAATATAACATATAATACATACATATATATAATATTGTATAGTGTAGTTGTTGTTAGTGATAACTGTGCCTAATCAACAGGACATCTATATCGAAATAAATCTCCTTTAGAGAACATAGTGATCAAATAAACATTTGTTCGATGCCGTGAAGAGAGTGGAAAGACTAGTTAGCACTTGTAAAGCAGTAACAGACCGAGTAGTAAACAGTTATTAATACTTCATTTGTTGACGGTCTGTCCGATGAGTGAGTAAGAAATGTTGCCGAGACCATCCATTTTGTATCACACGCTCTTGTGTCTGATGAACAGCAGGAGTGAAACCCCATAGTCGT